CTCAGTCTCGCTATCTACGAGAAGAGACTTGAATGGGATCTTGACATGATGTCACCATACAGTACTATGCGCGTTGCAAACCCAAAGACCAAGTAATGTCTGATGACATACATAATTTTTGTCTCTTTCATCAAAACACAATCACTTGCAATGTTTCATGGCAAAAAAAAAAGAAGACTATGAATATGACCAATCATGTATCATCTTTCAACAGTGTTTGTTCTCATTAAATTAAGCCACAATTAGTTCTGGAAAAACAAAAACATCTCTAGATGCAGCTATTATTAAGATGAGATTGACTGTAAGCCAACACCAACATAATACTGTGGAATACTTTATTTTCGCTGGAATTAATTTTCGCTGAAAAGGCTTTTTGGGCGTTTTGTATGGAATTTATTTTCACTGATTTCTGATGAGTTTAATGTGAAATATAGGAAAAAAAGAATATTCGCTGGATTTTATTTTCACGGAATCATCCCTTCAGCGAAAATAAATTCCAAGCGAAAATAAAGTATTCTACAGTACTTAGTGCATTACTAGTGAATTGACACGCTGACTGACCTCCTGTCCTGGTTTCAATTCCACTTTTAATAACTTATGTGCACACTCTTCAAAGTCCAAACTTGATTGAATGGTTAAATAAATTGTTCTTCTTAAAGCTATTAAATTAGTCTCAGTCTGGTCAATTATTTCTGTTTTCTTCTCTTCATCTTCTTCTGTGAGTTAACAAATATAGACGTATTGTATTGATTATATATAGATATCAAAGTTGTTACACTAAAATAATGAAATAAAATATTTTATAATCTTGATAACGACAATGAACATCACTCACTTTTGTCATCAGACTATTAGTCAACAACAACTTAATTATGTATCAGACTTTGGGCTACCCTAATAGTTTAGAGATATGCCAGACTTGATGTACATGTATAACTGAATGATTGACCAAATTAGAACTCCTACAGCACGAAGGATTATGCAAGTAAAAAACAAAACAGAAACATCTGTATATTGCAGGGAAACAAGGGAATAAATATTAGATTGTAACCTTCTTCTGAGTCTTCTTCATCGGAGCTCCCTTCTTCACCAGATTCTGAACCACTACTACCCTCATCCAATATCTCTTTCTTGATAGCTTTATAGTTCTCTTCATTGTCTAAATATTCTGGGTCTTCTTTGAACACATCTGAAATTGTGATTCATACAAAAAGGTCAATAACAATATGTAAAGAGAACAGTTTGTCAACTACTAAATAACACTTGAACTGTTTATACAAGTTGAATGACTCTTATAATCCGAATAATGTGTATATTATTATTACTTAGTTCATTTTCTGGTTTATGTTCATCTTCAAGTGTTAACAGATGAGTAAACTGGTCAGCTTCATCTACTTTATCTAACTCTTCCAGTACTGATGGGTGGTCTTTAAACTGATCTTTACGTATAGCAAACATCACTTCTATCATGTACTGTACTCTCTTTTCAATCTGTGCTTCATGTAGAATACTACGCAGCCTCTCAAATATTGCTGTAAATAAAACCAATAACATTACAAGCCTAATATTACATCCAGCTGCTAAATATAATATAAACTAAGGTTATACAAGTACAAATACATTTGTTGCATAAAATAACAGCATTTATTCATCACATCAAATTTAGAAAGGTTCTCCACTAAAAGCCAAGCACAAAACAGTGTATTGGAAAGCCATGTTAAGAAAATTTGAAGCATGTATTGGAAAGCCAGATTCAGAACAGTTGTTGCATGTATTGGAAAGCCAAGCTTAGAGCAGGAAGGAAGTTTTGAGAATATGTGGTAGGTGAAATTTTAAGTGTATACGCAATGTAGTCACTTACCATGGATTCCTCTGGGGGAAACCTCTGTCAGCTTTTGTCCACACTCTTTGAGAAAACCAATAGCAACTTCAACAGAATCGTCAGTAGGATTTTCCAATAACACTGTTAATATTTCCAGTGCTATCACTTCATGAGCCTAACAGACAATAAAGGAAGACTGAAATTAGACTGTATAAAAAAAAAACATTGGTTGATAGCTCTAGGTTCAAATGATCCGTAGAATCTACTAAATGTACCTTTAAGTAAATAAACAGGGTCTAACTTAACAAGAAAGGAAAAAATGAAAGGAAATAATTAAGTTTTTCACAACTCCTGACTGTTGTGTAGATACACAACCTTCATGTAGAACTAATCCCTTTTTCCTCCAAAATGTTATCTATTTTTATTTTATTTTTTGACAATTTTGGATAAATGGACATAATTTCCTACTAGATATGGGTTTTAATCAAAATTTGGAAAAAAAATACCTGTGTTTTTATTTAGAGAAAAGTGACAAGTAGGATAAATATACAAAGCCAGTAGAAAATCTTTCCTCTCTATGTTTTGTATACAGCTTATCACAAATCTATTATCAGAAAGAGTAAAATGGCAGTATCAGTTACTACGAATATTAGAGATGTTGACTCACCACTTGCTGGTTGACAAGATGGCCTATAAATCTGACAGAACTTAAACAAACTGACTTATCATTGCGTTTGTAAGATCTCTTAAACTGCACAATACATCGCTTCAGGATCAATTCACCAATCTGGGGAAACTGTAAAGCAAAGGTAATTGTATTATACATGGTTATACAATATTTAATATGCAGTGCACTGGCTGTCGGTTTCAATGATGGATATTTACTATAAAGTACTAATTTATCTTTCAAAACATAGTTGTCATAGTGAACACAGTGCAAGAAACAACTCGCATGCCACTAACAACACATTGATAAAACAATCAGCTATTTTCCCATTGCCAGTGTACATCTCTCTATCTGGTTGTGCAGACATGGCAAGCCACCATTGAGATATTAATGCCATGACTACACCCCATCAAAGTGTACAAGGATATATCTACCACACAATCTTTTTTATTGACTTGCTGATACAACACTACATCTGAGGCAGTATGTTTTACCTTACTCAAAATGAATTCTTACTGTAAACCAACAGATGATAATAGTAAGGAGTGTTATTAGTTTGTGAATGTGGTGAAATTAACCAATAGTGATAAAATTGTTATTTTAGTGAGGTGATGAGATCACATACCTTTGTGTTTATGATCGCAACTAAAGCTGCATATACATGAGTGAATGTTGGAGATGCTGTCTGTGCCTGCAGTATAGATCGTGACAATAAACCTCTGAAAAAATAAGAAAAACAGATTATATCACATGCATTCTCAAAGTTTCACACTGCCTCTTTATATTTGTCTACTGCATGTGCATATTGTAAGCTAAAATGATACGGTCATCAATCTTTCTCTTTTCTTACAAAACAGACTACCAGTCACCTACAGTTGCCAAATTTATAAAATCTCATTTCTTTGTTAATGCATTCTAACTTTCACATTTTGTTCAGCTCCTTTGATTGATCAAAGTTAACCTGGTGTTCACACCTGATAACAACTAGAACAGAGTTTGAAAAATTCACTGGTTAAGTTAAATAATTAAAATATAAAGACATTTCTTCCAATGATTTTAGTATTATTGAGCTCACATTAAGTTGTCGCAACTTGTCATTTTGAATACATGCAGATGACATCATGGCTTGTTATTGAATGCTCTCATGGTTTATCACAGAGTTCGGAGCAGAGACCAGCCCTGGTTAAACTAGTATGGGTTGATGACTTGTCAATCCATTCACAATCTTTATTAACAGTACTAGTAATTCAAATTAATTAACTTGTATGAAAGACCATAAAGAGAGTAACAAGATTAGATAGTGAAAGGTATTTGCTCCCCCTTTCGTAAGGTAAAAGTGTCCTCACTTGTTAGTAAGGTTGATAGTCATAAGCTGTTACATTCCAAGGCAGTCGTAGCAATATTGTCATACATATTAACACTTGTAAATTGACAATGGGAAATACAACTCCATTTGAATCAATGTTTTATTATGATTAAAGTATTCACCATGCTGCTTCATTCTACATTATATCCACTGTTGTAGGGACAGGACTGATTCAGTAGACACATGGCAAACTTTGCTAATTAGTGAAGTAAAATTCTCTTGGTGCTATTAAACTGGAAAGTTCAACTTACCTTCCTCTTACAATATTTTCTTGAAACAACTCAGTGACTATAATCACTATATTAGATATGTTAATTTTGTTGACCAAACCGTTGATACTTTTCTTCAAAGCTTCCCATGCTATTCGTTGATATTGCACACTGTAATGTTAAGCAAACACCAATGATTAATCCCTCTGATCACATATAACGTGTATATTGCTATACAGCATGTAGTTTCTTTACTAAAATACTGCAACATTAGAGTTGTACTGGTGAACTCATAAATTGGTGGAGTCCATAAAATCAAATATGATCAAAACAAATGTATTGGTGACTTCAAATCATGAAGGCACACTTTTTTTTAAGACAGATTGTGAGAAAATGTACAATATGACAACACTAATGTTACTTGTATTTCAATTATTACTATCATGGACAATCAGTGTTGCTTTATGAGACTGATGGGATGTAGTCATGTGCAGAATACAATGAGGTAGAAATGTCAAAAACTGATTACCACAGTAAAAGGTATAGTATGAATAGATTGCAAAGACTATAATGTGGTCCTTATTTTAGCTTGGATATATTATTTATTTCAAGTACATGTTCACTCTTTTGTTTAACTGCGCGTGTTTCTCCATCTCTCCATCTAACATCATTGTATCTTCAACATAACACATCTAAGGGGCTGTTGATTAGGATAGACGCAAGACATTTGTAACTGAGCATCAGATGAATACATTCCACTTTGTATGTTACCTGTTTTTGTATCACATTACAATGTTTCACATTAACTCATGTCGGTTTATTTATTATAGCTATTTCGACGCACAAATACAAAATTAACCAAATTTGAACAGCTTGCGTTTTCCATGTGTCTGTTTTAATCCCTATCATGGCAGCCCCATGTACTTTTACATTGACTTGACCAGATAAGGGTTAATAATCAACATCCCTTAACCACCACCATCAAGCACACACAGAAATAAATTGCTTTCAAAACAACAATATTTGAATCTGAATGGTGCATATATTGAGTTGGTTGTACAACCATATACTTACCATTGTTTCGTTGCATGCTTTCAAGCTAATGCATGTTCCAACCTGGGTACACCAATTTGGGGTTTACTCGCAATGTAATCTTGTCCCAAGATATGAAGACCGAAAAACCGCAACTGTCATTAAAACAATTCTTCAACTGCTGTTTACCTTGACTTATCTGTGATCTGTGCCTGCAACATTCGTAGTTTAGCTGGCGGGATGTATGCGCCACCAGTTCTGGTTACTAGCGTTTCTTCTTTCTTCTTCTTGATCGATGGTTCTTCAGATATCTGCTTGTTTTCCTTATCTTCAGTAGTATCTGCTCCATTCCTTCGTTTATCACCCCTGTTGAGTACGGGATAAGTGTCAAGAAATGCATTTCACAAGTTACAATTCTGTGAGCCTCATCCAAAATCATTCCATGATATTATTTTAAAATTTCTTGCAGACAATCTGGTTGGTTGATTTACAAGGCAACTAATTGTTTTTTAATCTACAATGATCTTCATTTTTTTTATTTATTTATTTATTTATTCATTTATTTTGCAAATATTTTTGTCAATCTCCTCAAAGTTATGCGGATACAGCAAACCTTATGCTACACATTCATTGAAAGATGGCACTTTATACCAAGCAGCTAGTAAACTGAACAGATTCTGTATCTGTACTCAGTATTACAAATGCAAGAGTCATGTAGCACAAAGCTAATGATAGTTCAGAAGAAACCAATGGCTATACAGTTACATATTTCAAATCGCTATGTTAGTGAAATCAGACAAACTGCATGGTCTTCAAAAATAGAAAGAATTCATTGCCAACAAGAAAAAAATAATACTGTCTATCAATTTTGCAGAGGATACTGTCGTGGGAATGCTAACATTCTCAAACAGTATCATACACCCAAAAACTTTACAAAACATTAGTTCTGTAAAATAATTCATTTTAGCTAATTAAAATTAATCTTCGCTGAAAAGACTTTTTGGGTGTTTTTTATTGAAATTATGGTCATTTTTGATGAGTTGAATGTAAAATATAGGGAAAAAGTGTATATTCGGTGTATTTTATTTTCAATGAATCCTTCCTTCAGTCAAATGAGCCAATAGCACAGAGTGACAGCCTACTATACTAACTAAATAGCATAAAATATTTATTATTGTGACATGCCGAAAAAAAAATATTCCACCTTCCACCAGAGTCTGATCAGTAACACGATTACGCTTTGGACCACAGTCCCTCTTTGTTGAGAGACTGTATTTCGACGAAGCAACAATGCCGTCCAAGAAAATTAATATTACACGAATCGACGTCTTGTTTTGAGTACAAATCATTTTGTGTAATATAGTTTAGACAGCCCACACGAGTGGTGCTGCTGCAGCAACAACTGTTTTTACTTTCAACGAGTGTGACCAACCAGACTCCGTAAACAGGTGATGCCATTTTACAGAGTGGTTTCTGAAACTTCGTTGCATTTTCCCCCGCTGTATGATTATTTTCGTCAATTGGAACGTCAAAGATACGAGTATTATCTAAGCAAATTACCATGAAAAAAAATTATCGTTTCAAATAGGTTTCCAGTCGAGTAGAAAGACAAGAAAATTACTTTTATGCAGATTTGCTGTTTTCAAGCCTTTCATTTTGGCAATATGCGCAATACTTTAATAGACGTCTGACAAACAATGGAACAGTTCAATTTTTTCACAGAAGATTCTCATTTAGTATACCAATAACGGTATGTATCACATTATTCAATGTGACTTATTAAAACGACAGAAATCTTGAGTAGAACGGTAATTTATTTATAAGTTTTCACTTTTGATTTCTATTTCAAGAAAACAAAGGCTTGCCTTGTACTGTCCAAACACTTGTTCAATTCCCAGTTTGCTGATCAGTTTATAACAATAGACAGAATGTCTGCAACTTCAGTATGTTTTTTGTACAGGGATCTCGCCACGCTAGTTGGCGGTGACCGGCACTCAAAATTAGTGACCACCAGAAAATGCTTCCGACCAGGACTATTGTCCGATTGTTTGTAAGTAAATACTTTGACGATCGACAGTCTTTAGATTGAAAGCTAAAATTCTTTCAAAATCAATTCCACCCCGATATAACATGGGCAAAGGGAGTTCACGATCAGGTTACGCTACTCATGAAAAAAATCAACATGTTTATTGCATGATTTGGTAAAATGCATTTGAACTGTTATCATCGCGAATCATGTAAAAACTCTTCTTTCAAGACCTATTTTACCTTTTAAAGATTGCTAATCACCTCTCTCGAAAACCATCATGCTGTTTTTGACTGAAATCGATGCCAACACACGCTACGACATCGCTTTACTTCCGCAATGTAATTTTTATGATCACTACCATTCGGAAAACTTCGGATTCCACTGGCATTACCATGTGGCATTCTGATTGGTTAATGGAATTCTTGACCCATCGTGTCAAAGGACACATGCCGGTCAAATAATACGTCACAAACATCATGGCGGGTCTGCGTTTTTTACCGCAGCGACTGTGTGATAAAAAATATCCACTCCCGATAAAACTAATTTTACTTTTATTTCATGTCAATTTCAAAAAAAGCTTAGAAAGAACTCCTATGTGCTGAGAGTATTGGCGACACATTAAATATAATTCAAAATTACTTGTCAGAGATAGTGATAGTGATGGAAAAACCGAAAACTAATAATGCAAATCAGAAAATTAATATGAACAGATTTTAATGGAAAACTAATGAGGTCTGCGCAATGTAACAGACCATTTATGTACCAAGTTTTATTGAAATGTGATTGGAACCAAAAAAAATTATGAATTATTATGCTAATTAGGGAATTAATATAAACAGATTTTAACCCCAAACTAATCAGGTTTGTACATTGTCCTAGAGCATCTTTGCACTAAGTTTCATTGAAATGGAATAATTAGTACTTTAGATATCAGTGTGATAGCTTAAAAGTGGTTAATTATGTAAATTAGTAATTAATATGTACAGATTTTAACCCAAAATTATCCAGGTCCGTCTATTGTCCTACAGCATCCATGTACAAAGTTTCATTGAAATGTGATGATTAGTACTTGAGAAATCAGTGTGAAAGCTGAAAATTAATTAATTATGCAAATTAGGTAATCAATATACACAATTATTTACCCTAAAACTAATCAGGTCTGTGGATAGTCCCTAAAGGATCTATGTATCAAGTTTCATTGAAATGTGATGATTAGTACTTGAGAAATCAGTGTGAAAGCTGAAAATTAATTAATTATGCAAATTAGGTAATCAATATACACAATTATTTACCCTAAAACTAATCAGGTCTCTGGATAGTCCCTAAAGGATCTATGTATCAAGTTTCATTGAAATGTGATGATTAGTACTTGAGATATCAGTGGAAAAAACGAAAACTGACTAATCAATATGCAAATTAGGTAATTAGTAATTAGGTAATTTTTACCAAAAACTAATCAAAACCAAGCATTAGTTCAGAGCATCTATGTACCAAGTTTCATCAAAATCCAATAAGTGGTTCTTTAGATATCAATGGTCATGGAACAGCTAAAAATTAGCTTATTATCATGCAAATTAGGTAATTAATATGCACGAAATTTTACCAAAACCTAATCAAATCTGCACATTAGCCCAGAGCATCTATGCACCAAGTTTCATCAAAAACTGATGTATGGTTCTTGAGATATCAGTGGAACAGACGGACACACACACACACATACAGTACAGTTCTCGCGGAAGCTTTGGCTTTTGTGGCATCATTGTCGCCTACGCATGGCTTCATTGTCGCCTCAGCATCGCAT